CCTCGGCTTGTGTGGCTAGAGGGAAGTTACCGAGAAGCCTCCTGACCACCTGCTCATCCTGTGTCACTTCTCTGCTGTACCCCTGAGCTTCCTTGGGTTCACTCGGTTCCCTGAGCTTTGAATCTCTTCTCTCTCCTCTCTGCAGGAATGCTGATGGTCTGTATAGTGATTGGTGCTCGAAAGCTCGGGGTCAACCCAGACAACATCGCCACACCCATTGCAGCCAGCCTGGGAGACCTTATCACGTTGTCCATTCTGGCTTTCTTTAGTAGCTTCTTCTATAAACACAAAGGTAGGGGGGCCCCAAGAAGGAGGGGTCCACCAGCAAGGCTGAATGGGAATGTTTGTACCCATCCTGTGACATTCAGATTGGGCACCGTTCCCTCAGGAATCCACCGGTGGGGTCCGTCGTGGAGTCAGAAGTCCTTTTACAAAGGCAAAGCCTGAGGTCATTGACCGAGTCCAGGCGTTCTCCAGCAAGTGCCTCAGGCTGTTCCAGCCATGTTAGATGGGTCACACTACTCAAGTCAGCAGACATGTAGGTTGTCATTTTTCCCCTTAGGACCAGGGTATACAAGGAGACCAGGGAGGGCCTTAGGCTGGCCTGGCCAGGCAGCACATCCTCAGAGGTGACAGTGCCTCCTTGGGGAAGGAAGTTCACACAGGACTCATATAAACTGCTCAAGAAGTGACTCCCAAGAAGGGATGCCTCAGCCAAGGCAGCAGCAGTAACAGCATATGCTTTCCCTGTAGGCACGAGGCAGGGGAAGCCACAGCTCCTCTGAAGGCAACCTGGCAACCTGTTCAGCAGCTGAGGGAGACGAGATGTTCACACATCTTTTGGCAACAGGCCCTTACTCCACCAGAGGTCTCCCCAGGTCTGCCCTGGAAAAAGTTTGCGCATGCCCTGGGCAGTGTGGGCAGGCAGCATCACCGTTGCCCACATGGTTCTCCCCGGCTTGGCTTGCACAGCTGACTGCTCCCCTCCAAGCATCACGTTTTTTACCCTGCAGCTAACACAGCCTAGATAAGATGGCTACACACAACCATTTGCATCTAGTAAGTGTCAATTCTGAGCGCAGTCAGGACCCTGGATGCCTGGAAGCAGGTAGTGTAAATGAGTAGAGCGGACAGTAGTGAAGACATCAGGGAGCGCTGGAGCATGTGGTGATGGTTGATGGGAGGAAATGCCCCAGACAAAGGAGCAGCCATAACGGAGCTCCAATTTATCATTGCCCTGTGGGAACATGGACCCAAGGATTTGAGACATCACCTGTTTTTACATGTTGGCAACTGAAGCAGAGCAACAAAACACTTCTGATTTAGAGTGTTCAGGCACTGGGGCCCTTTCTGTCTCAGCTCTGNTGGCAACTCAGCTCGAGCCGGGCATCGAACCGCTGTTGCTCAGAGCTCAAACTCTTGAGCGAGCTCTTAACCAACTGAGCCACTCGGCCGGCCCCTATCCAACCTTCTTTAATAACACATGGTTCCATTGAGATGTTTTGGATTACTGAAAGTAGACACCAGTATTGATTCTCGGATCTGGGGCACCCCCTGGTACTGACCTGAGTGGGCATAGAGGTGTGTCCCCACCCACATGAGATGGGAACTATAGCTTGGGATGGGGGAGAATGCAAAGAAAGGGGCACCAGCCTCCAGGGCAAATACCAAGGAAGGCAAGTCAGGGAGAGAGACTGGGAGGTGCGTACAGAAGCCTCTGAATTGTACCTGTGGATCAGGGAGCATTCCCACAAGGGGAGGTCGATTGTCTGTGCTGCGAGAGGTTACAGAACACTTGCCCAGCGCAGTGGGAGAGGGGCTGTGAGCCAGAGCCTGGTGGCCCTTGACTAAGGGCAGAGCAGAAGATGAAGAACTCGGTTCCCTGATGAAAGATGGCAAGGAACAAGGAGCAGAGGGCCAAGCAGTCGTTTTCAGGGGAATTGGGTTGAAGGAGGGTGTTAGTCTGTGTTCCTCTGACCTCTTGAGGTTGGAGAGGAGATGCAGCGAAGGGCAGGGAGGAGTGGAGGTGGTCAGAGGGGCCCTTCCTCACGTTTCTGATTTCTGCCCTGACAGGTGCAGGCCACCGTTGTGGGGCTCCTGGCCGCTATGGCTGCCCTGCTGCTGGGAGCTCTGTCTAGGGGGGAAGTAGACTTTGCGAAGGTGGAGTTGCTGTGTGCCAGCAGTGTCATCACCGCCTTCCTCGCCGCCTTTGCCCTAGGTGAGCTGTGCCCTCACCCCAGCACCGCTCCCCCTGGCTTCCCGGCATGCCCTGCTCCTCAGGGCTCCACTCTCACCTCTTTGTGCTTTCAATTCCGAAAGATGGAACACTAATGTTTGAACCTCACGGAGTGGGGAAGAGCCTGCCTGGGTCTTGACTCACTTTGTGGGCAGGTGAGGAGGGCAGTGAGCCCCTTCCTGGGTGAAGTGTGTGTGCCCCAGAGTGAGCTCCTAACTCCATTTCTCTTCCCTCTGCTTGTTTAAAGAGCTGGCCTGTGTTTTGTAGACATATTCATCTGTTCATCTGTTCATTTTTCATTCATTCATTTATTCCTTAACTCTTTCTTGAGTATGGCTTGCTTACGGGCCTCTGGTGGGCTCTGCAGTCTGCAGTCATGGTGGGGAGCAAGGCTCAGTTTTTAGCTTAAATTTCATCTTTAGAGAGGCCTTTTCTGACTACCCCTTCACAAGTACTACTCTCCTCCCTTCTCTCCTTCCTCACTGCCACCACGCTCTACTGCACCGTGCTGTTTTTCTTTTAGCGCATTTGTGAAAATCTGAAATGACCTTGTTTCTTTGTTCATTTTCTATGTTACCGCCCTGCTAACATGTCAGCTCAGAGCAGGACCCCCATCTCCTATTCTTCCATCTGCTGCTCCTATCACACTGCCTGCCACAGGCAAATGCTCCCTACGTGTCTCCCGAAGGCAGAAATACAGAGGCATTGGCAGAAATAACCCTGTCCTCAGGGACCTCATGCACATCAGTGGAGACCCAGTTGCTGTGTGACTGTGATAGAATGTCACCCATTCATTATTACTCAATATTTATTGCGTGTCTGCTGTGGACCAGGCACTGCTACAGTGCTGGGGATACACTGGTAAGCAAAATGTACAGGGATCCTGTTTTGTGATGTTCATATTCTAGTTCAAAGTAAGACATCATTACGGGAGCATATAATAATTTCAGTTAAGTGCCAGAGCCTCTTCCTTTCTGAGGCCCTCTCTGATCATCTCTCTAGAGTAGCCCTAGTCAATCATACTTTATTTTACTATCCTGTTTATTTACTTCAAATGCATGTTCACTTACTTGTGTACTGTCTGTTCCTTCACCCAACAAACATTTATGTGTGAGTACAGAGCCCGATGGTTATATGAGCACTTAAAACAGGCCCAGGCATATAACCAGCTCCCAAATGTTTGCTTAAAGAGTGGACTTTATTCTGGTTCTCTTCTGGATTGTATGTCTGTGTGTATGTTGCAACATGTGCAAGTACAAGAAGGAACAAGTGATACTGTATAAATCGGATTTGTATTTACACTTCTGTCCCCCCATCTGACTGCTCACAAAACACCTATAAGCTGAGCTTTCTCTAAGTGAATGCAGCAGGTTATTTGGTGATTTCAGCTGGTC